ATTATTACAATATTGCATAACAGTAAATCTTCAATTTTTTGGTGTGAATAAAAATTCAGTATGTGAATAAAAAATCAAAATGGAATCTATTTGTAAAGCCTCAAAACATAACTAATGAACAGAGGAAATGTTAGTTTAGTGCCAGGAATACCTACATTGTTTATTCTGGACCCTTTTTTTGAAATTGGAATATTTTGAACTTTGTGTTAAATTGGCCAAATTACCAACTTCCGATCACTTTATTTTGTAATTGAAACAGTTGACTTGGCGATTTCTTGGGCTCAATCGATAGAATAGAAGTAACACTAATGAAATAGCTAAGAATTTGGTCAACTGGAATAATGTAATTGGCCTAAAGTGGGAGTCAAAGTCGGCAAAATCGCCGATTCGTAAATATCGCTGACACATCAAAATTCGCGAGAGCATGATTTCGTTAATTTTCCATCAAATTTCGTACTTTTTGTTTTATTACCTTCACAAAAAGATTCTCAAGCATTTCATAAGAAAAAATAACTAATTTTTTTTTTTTTAAATTCTTGGACACTGGGGCACCACTTCAGATTTTGGCCTTGGACCCTGAAAGGGTTAAAGGAGGGGTTTGGGATATTGGCAGTTTGGAGGGATATGTTGTGTATCTTTATATGTGTATGCTTCTAAACTGTGTATTCTGAGCTCCTCTGCAAAAACAGTGATAATGTGACAGTGTGGTGAAAGTGTTGAATGATGATGAAAGTATTTTCTTTTTGGGGATTTTCTTTCTTTTTTGGGTCACCCTGCCTCGGTGGGAGACGGCCGACTTGTTGAAAAAAAAAAAAAAAAAAAAACTGTCAGGTGGACATTTACGCCTGCCTTGGCCATTTACTATTGTCTTGGAATATATACAAAGTATTTATAGGTCCCAGCATGTTTTGGATATGTGGAAGTATATAATAATAATAATAATAATAATAATGATAATAATAATAATAATAATAAGAAAATAATAATATGAAAAAGAGGATAAATAAATATACACGGTATGATGTAGCACGTAATGAAAGTAGTTTGTTAGAATATTTTTTTTTTTGGATAAAAGGTTGATGGGTAGGCTCTAGGATGTACACGTTTATAGAGGAGCAACTGATATATCGGATCATTATCTAGTTGTAGCTACAGTTAGAGTAAGATGTAGATGGGATAAGAGGAACATGGCAACAACAAGTAAACTAAGGGAGGAGGAAGTTCGGGTGAAATATAAGCAACTATTGGCAGAAAGGTGGGCTGGTGCAGGTATGAGTAGTGGGGGGGGGGTTAAAGAGGGTTGGAATAGTTTTAAAAATGCAGTATTAGAATGTGGGGCAGAAGTTTGTGGTTATAGGAGGGTGGGTGCAGGAGGAAAGAGGAGTGATTGGTGGAATGATTAAGTAAAGGGTGTGATACAAGAGAAAAAGGTAGCTTATGAGAGGTATTTACAAAGCAGAAGTGTTATAAGAAGAGTAGAGTATATGGAGAGTAAAAGAAAGGTGAAGAGAGTGGTGAGAAAATGCAAAAGGAGAGCGGATGATTGAGTGGGAGAGGCACTGTCAAGAAATTTTTATGAAAATAAGAAAAATTTTTGGACTGAGTTAAACATGTTAAGAAAGCCTAGGGAACAAATGGATTTGTCAGTTAAAAACAGAGTAGGGGAGTTAGTAGATGGGGAGATGGAGGTTTTGGGTAGATGGCGAGAATATTTTGAGGAACTTTTAAATGTCGACGAAGAAAGGGAAGCGGTAATTTCATGCACTGGCCAGGGAGGTATACCATCTTATAGGAGTGAAGAAGAGCAGGATGTGAGTGTGGTGGAGGTGCGTGAGGCATTACGTAGAATGAAAGGGGGTAAAGCAGCTGGAACTGACGGGATCATGACAGAAATGTTAAAAGCAGGGGGGGGACATAGTGTTAGAATGGTTGGTATTTTTGTTTAATAAATGTCTGAAAGAGGGAAAGGAACCTAGGGATTGGCGGAGAGCGTGTATAGTCCCTTTATTTAAAGGGAAGGGGGACAAAAGAGATTGTAAAAATTATAGAGGAATAAGTTTACTGAGTATACCAGGAAAAGTGTATGGTAGGGTTATTATTGAAAGAATTAGAGGCAAGACAGAATGTAGAATTGCGGATGAGCAAGGAGGTTTTAGAGTGGGTAGGGGATGTGTAGATCAAGTGTTTACATTGAAGCATATATGTGAGCAGTATTTAGATAAAGGTAGGGAAGTTTTTATTCCATTTATGGATTTAGAAAAGGCATATGATAGAGTGGATAGGGAAGCAATGTGGCAGATGTTGCAAGTATATGGAATAGGTGGTAAGTTACTAAATTCTGTAAAGAGTTTTTATGAGGATAGTGAGGCTCAGGTTAGGGTGTGTAGAAGAGAGGGAGACTACTTCCCGGTAAAAGTAGGTCTTAAACAGGGATGTGTAATGTCACCATGGTTGTTTAATATATTTATAGATGGGGTTGTAAAAGAAGCAAATGCTAGGGTGTTCGGGAGAGGGGTGGGATTAAATTATTGGGAATTAAATACAAAATGGGAAGTGACACAGTTACTTTTTGCTGATGATACTGTGCTTATGGGAGATTATAAAGAAAAATTGCAAAGGTTAGTGGACGAATTTGGGAGTGTGTGTAAAGGTAGAAAGTTGAAAGTGAACATAGAAAAGAGTAAAGTGATGAGAGTATCAAATGATTTAGATAAAGAAAAATTGGATATCAAATTGGGGAGGAGGAGTATGGAAGAAGTGAATGTTTTCAGATATTTGGGAGTTGACATGTCAGCGGATGGATTTATGAAGGACGAGGTTAATCATAGAATTGATGAAGGAAAAAAGGTTAGTGGTGCATTGAGGTATATGTGGAGGCAAAAAATGTTATCTATGGAGGCAAAGAAGGGAATGTATGAAAGTATAGTAGTATCAACACTCTCATATGGGTGTGAAGCTTGGGTTGTAAATGCTGCAACGAGGAGGTGGTTGGAGGCAGTGGAGATGTCCTGTCTAAGGGCAATGTGTGGTGTAAATATTATGCAGAAAATTCGTAGTGTGGAAATTAGGAGGTGTGGAGTTAATAAATGTATTATTTAGAGGGCTGAAGAGGGTTTGTTGAGGTGGTTTGGTTATTTAGAGAGAATGGATTAAAATAGAATGACATGGAGAGCATATAAATCTGTAGGGGAAGGAAGGCGGGGTAGGGGTCGTCCTCGAAAAGGTTGGAGGGAGGGGGTAAAGGAGGTGTTGTGGGTGAGGGGTTTGGACTTCCAGCAAGCGTGCGTGAGCGTGTTAGGTAGGAATGAATGGAGACCAATGGTACTTGGGACCTGACGAGCTGTTGGAGTGTGAGCAGGGTAATATTTAGTGATGGGATTCAGGGAAACCGGTTATTTTATATAACCGGACTTGAGTCCTGGAAATGGGAAGTATAATGCCTGCACTCTAAAGGAGGCGTTTGGGATATTGGCAGTTTGGAGGGATATATTGTGTAATTTTATAAGTATATACTTCTAAACTGTTGTATTCTGGGCACCTGCAAAATCAGTGATTATGTGTGAGTGAGGTGAAAGTGTTAAATGATGATGGATGTATTTTCTTTCTGGGGATTTTCTTTCTTTTTGGGTCACCCTGCCTTTGTAGGAGACGGCCGACTTGTTGAAAACAAAAAATAAAATAATAATAATAATAATACGTAATAATAAGTTCCCTTGAAGCATGAAAAACAAGCCTCCGTCCACCTTTGACAGTGACGTGATAAGATAACAGATAAGAGCTGACATTTGATGAGCATACACGAGGGTGCGGTGATAAGACTTGATAAGATAAGATTAGACGTGACATATGATGAGCATTGGCCCTGCTTTGTTTTTGCTGGTATACAAACATATCTGTTTGTCTATTTGTCTGTCAAGCTCCCTGTCTATCAGTCTAGCTCTCTGTCTAAGAGAGAGCCACAAGACTGCATCACGTTTACTCAAATCTTCAAGCAGAATATAGCTCTGTCTGGATTTTTTGGATTATCCTAGATAATTTACACTATGTATACTTGTATTTATGTATACCTGTGAGACAGAGATAGAGACAGATAGACAGAGATAGAGACAGAAATAGACAGAGACAAAGATAAAGACAGAGATAGACATAGACACAGACAAACAAACGGTGCCAGGCATCCAGCAGCCGGCCAGCCTTGCAGCTGGCCAGCCCGCCAACCAATCAGCCAGTCAGCCTGCTGAACAAGTATTACATTCCAGAATTGTTTTTCTTTACTTAGGGCATAGGTTATAAGATATTCTGATAATAACCTCAATAATAACCCATGTTGCACATGGGTTATTATCGCGATTTTTTGATATTTCCTCGACCACTTATGGCCACATCCACCTCAAAGCCACTAAACTCGGGGTCAACATCACTTTCCTCTTAAAATGGGAGAGCTAATACTACATGAAATCATTGAATCCCAGGTGTTTGCTGTGCTGTTTGCTCTAGCTGGCACTCATTTGAACTGGTGTTCCTACAAGGGACTATATGGTCCCAGATTTTTTAATACAGTGCACACTGAGTGTTATGACCCATTCTATGCTGACAACACATCTCAGGTCAATCGTGCCATATTTGAAGGCAGGAAAAATAAAGCTTTTATATACTTTTGGGGCATTAGCGGTAAGAATGTGTATAGTATACGTTTGGACCGTTTACGAGTTGAATCATTTACCTAGTGGTTTGTAACAAAAAACTGACAATTCTGAAAAAGTGACTTTGTCCATTGTCTGGATTTTATCTATTACATCTATAACTGGCCATCTCTCACAGAGACAGGGTGAGAGAGAGTTTTTCTTTTTACATGTAATAGTAATTTTTGCAGGAGAAAGATTGCTAGTCCCTTGCTCATGGCATTTTAGTCTCCTCTTATGACATACATGGCTTACAGTGGAAGGATTCTTTTCCGCTTCTCCATGGAGAATTCACTGTGTTTATATTTATTTATTCAGATGTACAGAGTGAAACCTGCTTTACCCCTCTCCTTCGTGATGCCCGTTGTGAGTACGAAGTGCTGCCAAGTGGTCACGATGAGGGCAAAGAGATGGGCCATGTTCCTCCCCAGCACCAGACCAGCATTGTCCCATTTGCCTCTTCCCTTATGAATGGACTAGATCATTGTTTGTCAGACATGGGAGCTTTCATGGGGCGGTCCTTCAGGGTGGGCTGGGGCCCTGGCTGGCAATTGGTACATGCAGGCCCACAACTTGCTTCAACTGCTATTGAAGAGTACAATGATGATGTGGGCTCAACAGTAGCAATGAAGACTTCATTTTCACCTGCTTGTTTCTTGTTCCTGGGCTCTCTTGCTTCCCAGCCTAAAACTGCTCAAAATGCAGAGTCTCCTAGGTAAGGAAATCTTAATATTCATCAATTAATGATAAAATAATGAATGTAATTTAGCTTGCTGAATATATGACCATAGGAAGTCATTAACTAATAATATGTGTAGGAAGAGGAGGTAATTTTGTATTTAACACTTCAATAGTTAGTTACTTTTATGTTTGCAGATACAATTTGTTGATAGAAAAGCTGCATACAGTCCCTCCACAATCTCGAACCATTCATGTAAGTAATTTTTATTTATTTTTTTGCAGTTAAATAGATCAGTGTATGTTTTATTTGTTCCCCTCTGTTTTTTTTTTTATCTGTAACATTCAAACCCTATGTGTCTTCCAGTACTTTCAAATTTTAGCTTTATAGTGGAGTTGGGTAAGAGATAGGAACTAGATAATATGATCTATTTCACACAAGGTATCTGATTGGTAATGTATACAGTATGCATAACAAAGGGATCCTAAATTAGAAAAAACATGTAGTATGGTGTGTAAAATCTTTGAGTGCATTTTTAAAAACAGCTGAGTCCCTTTTCAGCATAGTGTCTTATTTTGGATATTTTTAGAGGTCTTTTAGGTTAAATGTAGCATTATATGAATAACCTGCTTGTAGGAGAATGAAACTCATGATGAAT